CATGTCTGAAATTGACAAGTGTTCTTTTCACTACTCTTTTACAAAGTAGTTAGGGTTGTATCTTCAATGCAGGGATGACATGCATTGCAAATTATCACTTCGTGATACTTGATTCGGAAAAAGTTTGTTCGAACGCTTGCCCTGCCTGGGCCTGAGACCGCAGCTCAATCGTCATGGTGCTGGCATTCCTTGTCAGAGTGTTGTCTTGTTCAATCTCACCCTCTGTTTGTTTGTGAGACATGTCTCAAGAAGCTAGCTGATTGATGGCCACATGGCTTTTGCTGACGTAGAAGGCTTGAGTGAACTCTTGGTGTGTAATCTTTGCGATTCCCTAAAAATATCCAACCTTTTCCATTATGGAATGGAAATTGTCCCGCTAAGTGATGCGATGGAGTGCGACGAGCCATCCAACAGATTCCAGGATCTTGCTTTGAACTCAGCTGCAGCTTGCTCACTACTGTCACTGGAAATAGATTCCATATCTTCAGGCTAAGTCTTCCTGATGTATTTCAACTGAGGATAGATTCCCGAAGTTTGGAGGTCTGATTCACAATGCCCTCAGAGTCCATACTTGGGTTCCCCGCGCTTGGCCCTTGGAACCACGGAAGAAGATGGAGATCGTCCTGGTGTGGTTGCTTAGATTTCATCTTCCTTTCAAGTGGTTTAGGAGTGGTGCTATGTCTGTGGAATTTTGATCGGGCTTTGAATTTTCAAAGGTCAGGACTACTTACTTCTGGTTTTTGATCAAGGTGGCCAACAAGCCAAAGAAGAGCGTTACGCTCCCGAAGAAAGGAAAGCTAGTTAATTCTAAGACTTTGACACTGGGAGGATTTGGAACCATACGTTCTGACCTCAACTCAATGGTTCGTGTGGCTGCACTTTTTACCATCCAGCTTACTGCAATAGCCACTCTCTATCAGGATGTTTCTCTTCCACTACAACGGCATGCAAAAAATACTTGAGTGTCAGAGGATCAGGTGTCTGGGTCCAAGTATGCAAAAGCTTGGAAACACTCTGCCAGCTTGCTCACAGATTTGTGGCTGAGGATTTCGGCACACAAGTCTTTCACTGGAAGGACTACCGTGAACAGTGCGACGTTGTGGGAAGGGGATATGGCACCTATGTGACCCCACATTTGGCAGAACACATGTCCGGCTGGGTTCTGAGAACATGAGAGAACTATCCTTTGAAACCAAGTGACCTCTCATGATTTTCCCAAGTTTCCTACTTTGATTCTCTGGCAAATTTTCTTTCTCCCCGTCAATAAGCTTAGGTTTGCCAGTCGGGTGGACACTTCCTACCACTGGATCGGCACGTGATGTTGAAAAATCGATCCCATGGATGAACCGGGCCTGGAAAGAGCAGGCCACAAGAATGGAGCCATGTCAATGGCATGTGTGAATGCAAATAGCACTGTTAGATCTTTCATTTTATTTCATACCTTCTTTGATGATCTTCATCAACTGCCAGGGGCCAGGTAAAAGACACCGCGTGGCCTCATTCTTTTCTGGCGTGCTTGGATTGGAACTCGGACTATGTGAGTAGGAAACTGAGATAGCAGCACTACGCAGTTGTAGTAGCAGTTCTTGCAGCAGCAGTTGTTGTGGTGCCGGGAAGCACTGCCAATCTTGGATAGTAAGCCATTTCTGGGTGTCTATAGTATCTACTATATTTTTGTTGTTTACTGTAAATGGAGACACGCACACATATGGGCTACATATTCTTTGGAAACATATATTATCTAATGTTGTTGTTCTGGTTGTTGTGGCTCCTGTTCTGTGTTTATGGTTGTGCTGGTTGTGTTAATGGTTGTGGCTGTGGTTATGGAGTTGTGATTGTAGTGATGAAATGATAATGATGATGATGGTGATGATGATGATGCCGCTGATGATGATGATGATGATGGTGATGGTGATGATGATGGTGGTGATGGATTTGTTTGGTATGTTGTGGCTGTTGTTGTTGCTGTTGCTGTTGTTGTTGTTGTTGTGGTTGTGGTTGTGGTTGTGGTTGTTGTTGTTGTTGTTGCTCCTGCTGGTGGTGGTGGTGGTGGTGATGATAATGGTGGTGGTTGTGGTGGTGGTGGTGGTTGTGGTTGTGGTGGTGGTGGTGTTGGGTTTTGGTGGTAGTGTTGGTGGTAAGCAAAAATGCTGGTGATACTGATGATGTCCTTGGTGTTGCTAGTCTGCTAGCCTTGTTGGTAGGAGTTTTCTTGTGTGTTTGTATGTTGCAACTGCGGTTGTGGCTGCTGACTCTGGTTGGACTTCTTGCTGTCTCCCCTGAATGTCGTCCTCGAATGCACTGTTGTCTGCTTGTTGTTCTGTTGAACTTGTCGTCTTGTGTCTCTGAGATCCTAGTAACACCTGCAGTCCTGCTGTAGCTTCTGTGATGTTTGGGTGTTGGTTTTCTTCAAGAGTCTATAGATCAAAAAGATATTTTTAAAATAATAGTATATATTGAACGTGTTCTGTTTTGAGTAGCCAACGAGCTACAATGCCAAGGTATGTCACTCCATGCTGCTTTGCTCGAACCCCAATGTTGAGTTTCGAACTAATGCCAACCATTCCGAAGTCTAACTTGAAAATTGAGGTTGAAAAGAGTTCCTACTGCAGGAGGACCATACAAGCAAGAATGCAAGAAGGACACTTCAGTGCGTCCTGCAAGATCTTCGACGACGTGTGCGCTTTCAGGTGCCAAGAGGTAGAGCAGGATGAACCACTGGACGGATTCACAGGTGGCTTCCCATGTCAGGCAGGGATGTCGGACTCATACTCTGAATGGCTTCCTATCTCCTGAACTTCTACTCTGGGGTTATTCCTTTTTGTTGTTGAATTCATATTTTGGTCGAGCGGCTTCCTATGCCCCGTGCATGCAGGGATGCTCAAAAGCTGGGGCCAAACAAGGCCTTTCTGATCCCAGAACAGGCTTGCTTTCTCACCTCTGGAGATGCTGGGATGAAGCAGCATCTCCGACTCTAGATCGCATTCTTATTTTCACGTGTGGGTTTCTAATACAGCAAGTGCGGTATCATCCATGTCCATGTTCTAAGGAAGTTTATGATATTGGAGAATGTGGGGAACATCCTGAGCAAGGATATGGTTGGTGTGATGAACTACCTTTTAGAGGCACCTTTCATTCAAAAGCAAACAAATCCCAGTGGCTAGAAATTGTCAAGCCTAAAGTCCTTTAATTCCCAAAGCTTTCATGCCAGAACTGCAAGAAGCGACAGCTCGACGTGAAGTGGGTTACTTGCACTGGCTACATGGTTGGCGCCTACGTCATGAACTAAGAAATTCTGCTAAGCTAATTTTATCTTAAAGGCATACATAAAAAATGCCATGTACTCTGAGGTGAGCCGAGAGCGCACCTTCTTTTTGATCACACGGCAGGGATTTGATTTCTTTGAGGGTCAGCGCTCTAAGTTGATCCATGATACTGACTTGCGCCAGATGCCCCTCTTGACCTGGCATCATGCATCCCGTCCAGCCTTGTACACATGGCTGTCAAACACCCAAAGCGCCTCCGACAAGGAGCGTTTGGCGGCTGTGGGTAACCTAGTCATGCCTGATGTTGCACGATTGGCAATCAATCTGCTGGCCACGAAATAATTTTCGAATGTCGTACAGCACAAATTCAGGGATTTGAAATTCGATTGGTCAATTCATTTGAGAGATTCAAACTGATCGCCTACGGTCAAAAGAAACCAAATCACTTTGGATGTCAGTGTATGGCATTTGACATGTTGCATCACACTCTTTGTCCGAAGTGTGATCGTGCTGCATCCGCAACATTTACATCCATTGCTTCAAGAACACGGTGTTCTTAAATTTTTGGGTGCCTCTGGCTACACTTGCAAAAACTTCAGGTCTTCAAATGCATGTGCTAATCAAGAAGCGCAAGACCCAAGACTTGCTTAGATTTGCCAGGTGCACCTGAGCCTTGCACCCCTTCTTGGCTACTTTGACTGGTTTGGAGCTTGGTGGGACAGCACTACCCCATCCGGCCTCCTTCAAATACGTTTTTCGATCCACTGCAGGTACCAGCTCCAACCTGGGCAGCAAGTGTTGCCGGCAAGTTTGGGGATGTTAGTCAGATTGGGAATTCAAAGTACGATGACTTGGGCTCGGGTCAAGGTTTCCACATGTCTATCAGCGTTCTTCATCACAGCTGCAGCTCATTAATGGATAGTTATCAAATCACCAACTATTATATGTATAAAAAACACCATCATTATTAGCAATAAAAGAATATAAAAGGCATCACTGATTCAAACCTTAAGGTTTCACATCATCACGCTACACACAGTGACAATTGGGTACTTGTCGGAGTTTCCATGGCTCCCCTATTGCCTCGCCTGGTGGCCTTCCTTCATCTCATTTTGTTGGGGTCTCAAGTCCATGGAAGTGTGCATCGCAAGAGTGGCAGTTAGATCCCTTGGATGTCCTTTAGGAGGAACCTTATTTCCCTGAGTTGCTGACTGCTCAGGTTGAGAATCGGCTGCCTCCAAGCTCTGTGGGTGATACCAAGGACTCTGCAAAAGAATTTCAAACTGTTCACAAAAGATATCATTCTTTGCCAGTGTGATCCTACTTGCTCATTTGGCAGGATGGCGGCATGGGAAAATGTCCAAATCTTAAGCGATGAGGAACCGGATATTCCTGCCAGTAAAGTGGCTGCTCCTTCCCGGCCCTGTGAACCACGAAAACTAAAACGTGGGAGATTTCTGAAGGTAAATGGAAAGGCTTCAAAGTTCTCCATCAAGTCTCTTCGTCACACCGTGGCATCTCAATGTGGCTGCTCATGCGATTGCTTTGAACCATTCCGGACAAACCTATTTGACCGCCTGACACACCTCAGGGAGAAACTGGCTTCTCTTTCCAAGCTGGACTCTGATGAATATGTTGGGAGCCAAGATTCTTTAATGGCATTGACACTGCTCACCCTTCTTTCAATGACAGTTAAATTTCACACTTAATATATAATGGTTCTGTTGGTCTCAGGTGTTCACCCTTCTTCGAAATCAGCGAACTGAATCTACTCGGGGGTGTCGGCACTTGGAGCTATTTGGCGAGCCAGTTTGCAACAAAGGTTTCTTGAAACTCCTTGCTATTGGCAAGTTGCGCTTTCAAAGGCTATGCGCTCCTGCTCGGGACCCTCAAGTCTTAGATTGCCCTGTGGACCAGCGCTATACTCCAAAGGGGCGACAGGGTACTGAGAAAGAGCAAATCGTTTTTGATTTTCTTCAGGGGTTGTACTCTACAGCAGCTGAAAATTTACCGGGCTGTCCATCAGCAAGCATGTCCAACAAAAGACCAAGACATGGATCGTGCAAACGGGACGACCCTGACATGGACCGTTCTCAAATTCGACACCTCCCTCCAGGGACCATCCAGGACTACCTCAGGTTGCTACAAGCTGACCATCCTAATGTCAAGTTCTCAGCCAATCTTTTTGCCAGAGTTTGGGGAGAGCATTTTATGGACAAGTTGAGAATCCGTGGGTCCACCCACCACAGCAAGTGTTCTGTTTGTGTGCGACACCGTCTGATTATCAGACGGGTTGGCAAGGGCACAGCTCGTTTGGGACAACTCATGGAGTACAGGAGGCATTTAAAAAGACAATACGACGACGGGGTCAATTACTGGGCATCTCGAAGTACATCTCGTTTGGAGTCAACATCCGGAGATTCCGTGCAGTTTATTTGCGGAATCCTTGACTCTATGGACCAAAGTAAGCACTGCTGGCCTCGATCGGAGGCAATGTCTAGTAAGGATTTCACTTCATGGGTACGTCCAAGGATGAGTTCCACAACCCTTCTCTTGCACGGTCACGGAGCTCTGGTTTGTCTCAGCCCTCCACATGTTCCAACCAACAGCAGTCGAACAGTTGAGATTCTAGCTTGTGGAATGACTCGTTGTATCAAAACTGGTATAGATTGGAGAAAAGTACATTTCCGATTACAATCGGATAATTGTGCAAAGGAGTGCGAAAATCAAACAGTGTTGCGGTGGTTGGGACAAATGGTGGCTACACACCGACTGCGGGCCGCCACAATGGCGTGCCTGCAGTCGGGGCACAGTCACGAGGATGTCGATGCCTTATTTTCAACCATGGCTACCTACATAGATCGTCACAAGGAGCTATGGACTATGGGAATGTTCCAGCAATGCCTTCAGAAATTTCTGGATCAGGATCATATTCGCCCTGATGAGACTAAGTTCAGAAGTGTGGAGATCCTGACTCAATTTCATGATTGGAGACTCAGTCAAAACAAAGTTGAAACAAACAGTGAAAAATTCAGCATACAGTTCTGCCTTTAAGGATCTTCTGGGCTGTGACTTGAAGAACAGTTGCATTCTTTGCCCTACTGAGGAAAATGCACCTCGAGACCCACATGTTGAGGTGCCACGTCAAAGGTATAGGTGGCCCTGGTGCTCCCCACCTCTTTGAACTCAGCCGCATGTCAGATCTCCGACTCTTGGGTTGATGTCTCCACCTGGCATTGGTCCGTTTCTTGAGTTGAGTGCATAAACAACATTGACACAATCGGACAAAATAGGAACATGCTGTGGACACATGACGGTTTTCTTGTCTTATTTACACCGGACACATGTGTCACTGTCAGGATTGACCCATGACCAGCTCAACTCCAGATTTTGGCGTCGATGCAACCGTAGATTTGAGCTAGGGCCATCCGATGTGGTGCTCAGGACCCTTGACAGCCTTAACATATGCGAGCACGCTGGACTCGATGTGTTTCCATGTGTGATTGTGTGATGACAAAACCTTTCATTTCACATTTTACATTTTACATGGTTTCTATCGTGTGGCGTGAGGACAAAACGCTTTTGCAGCGATCAAGAGTTTCAGCCAGGGAACTTCCTCTACTTACCTGCCTCTGTAGCTCAGCGGCTGTGTGAGATTGGAGGACCACCAGGCACCTGGCATTGCGAGTGTCCCAACATGTCACAACTCTTTCTCTCCCCCTCTCTCTTGGTAGTTATTGCTGTTCTCTCCAGAGATTCTTTCATTTTTACATACCCTTTAAACTTTGCAGACTATCTCCTCGACAATGCGAACCCGGACAGCGACGAGAACAGGAGTCTGCGGAAGTACGCTCACTTGCTGCGTGCTGTCCCCAATGTCACTGCTGAATTCAGTACGATTGTGTGTTTATTTTCTAAGAGTGATAGGCAATCGTGACTTAGGCCAAGAACCGTATTGCATGGAGAGTGCTGCCAGTGAGATGGAAGCGCTATCCTTGGGGAACCTTGGAGCTTTTCACAGGTTGGATGTCTCGTTGTGCTTCCCTCAGTGCTGCCATGGGCTTTGAAAGTTTACGCATGGCAATCAAAAAACCAATCAAACATGTATTGATAAACCAATCTAGCCAGCCCCAGGTCTTTACCCACTGCTGGACCTGCTGTTGGACGTGCAGATGTGCTCGGAGTAGCAAGGGGCCAGAACCTAGATGGAGCATCGTGGCTAACATTGGTACAGCCCAAAACCATTTGTCCCACTGATGTATTGAATCTCTGCAGAAAAATATGCAGCCGCATCTGATGCTTATACTCAAGGTACCCAACCAGTTGAACATCGTTGCGGCACAGCTTCTGCGCGAGGACCGTGTCCGCTACAAGACTGCACGGGAGAGACAAATTTTGTATGAAGCAGCTACTAAGTTGTGGATGAATGGTGTGCAAATGACCAAAGCCATTTCAATAGTCCACAAGGCTATGAAAGATTCCGGGGAAATTTGATCGAACACAATGCTCTTTAGTTTCACTGGAGTGGATTCAAAATTTTGTTGATTCTGTGGCAAACGTTCGATCAATGGGCTGTTTCCGGGACCCCTTGGCCTGACTCTTCCAATCCATGATACTAGTTTTTGAAGCTTAAACATTTGTGCAATAGACTCATTTTCTTTCTGCAGGGATTCCCGGTAAACGTGGCTTTTCTTTGAAGCCTTGTTCAATCCAACATGGGTTGTGCCACATAGCCCATGTCAATAGTTGACTTGGGGCACCAGACTTGAAGCCAATCGCTTCAGCCAGCAACTGAGATGGCCAAACACTGGCCTGCCAAACATGATTTTCTGCAGGGGAGTTCAGGCAGAAAATCGATAGGTTTCTGGGGGGTGGATTTTGTGCTTGAAGAGGTTGACATCCGGCACAAAAGCCTACAATGTCCTAGGGTACACCAAGATTCAAAAAAATATTTGGTTCCAACCTTTGGGGCATCAGAATCAAATAGGGTTTTGTGCTTAATGCCAACCACATCTGGCACAAACAGGAGCCAGTCACTGGGTAATGGTTTTGTGCTCTGGAGAGGTACTTATCAAAAGTCTACATTTTCTGCTTGATGGGGATAAGATCCGGCACAAAATCCAATCTGGGGGATAAGATCCGGCACAAAATCCACTCTGGGGGATAAGATCCGGCACAAAATCCAATCTGGGGGATAAGATCCGGCACAAAATCCAATCTGGGGGGATAGGATCCGGCACAAAATCCAATCTGGGGGATAAGATCCGGCACAAAATTTCAATCTGGGGGATAAGATCCGGCACAAAATCCAATCAAGGGGATAAGATCCGGCACAAAATCCAATCTAGGGGATAAGATCCGGCACAAAATCCAATCTGGGGGATAAGATCCGGCAGAAAATTAATGGATGAGATTTGAAGTCAATCAGTTTGAAAAGAATTTGATCTGAAAACCCAAGACACATAGACTGCATTCCGCTACAATGGTGGTTTGAAAAAAGTGTATAAATTATTTCTAAATAAATAGATATTAATCATATGATTCAAACACCAAATGGTTGACCCACTCAGTTGCCTCCATGCCTGCCCAACCGCTGATGCCAGGCGATGCCACCTCAAAAACGAAATAGTGGAGCATCAGATGGAAATGGCTCCAAGGCAAAGAAGGGGGACCAGAAGCTTCCGTCCATAGCTGCTGATTCCTTGAAGATGCCACACATGAAGCTCTTCAATGACTGGCTGTAACTTTTTGGCATTTGGATAATTTGAGAAAGCCTGAGGAAGTATTGAATCAACTGTTCAAACATTTTAGATTGATATCTGTGACTCCTGGGCCCACTGAGGGATATGGTTGTGATGAACCATGGAACAGCAGATGCCTATCTATGCAAGAAGATGTCTGACAAGGAGCATAATGACTGAACTGTCCAAAGTCCTTGTAGGATGCCTTTGCCTGTCAGCGGGCAGCAGGACTTCGCTGTGGAGTTCTACAAGTACATGGATTCCGAATTCCCTGCTTCACCGGAGTTGCAATGTCCTCAATTCATTTTCTTTGTCAATTTCAAAATCGCTGAGATGATTTCAAACCTATTTCAAACCTATTTTGACTTGTGGGATTTTCTGAGGACTTATGCGACGCAATCAGCTTTCATGTCGCCGGGGCCCTTTCACTTTCGCCCCTTCATGTTGCCACATCGTCATGACTTTGGCTTACGTGGTACTGCAGACTGGGACCCTTGTCTTAATCAGCCTAAATGTCACAATAATATCAAGCACTGGAATGACTTAAAACCAACATCAACAAACCACCCTGAGGAAATTGTGCGTTTGCTCACGCAGCTCATGGTTCTGAAGGGCTGTCTAACCTGCCCGGACCTGCCAGGATGTGAGAAGTTGTGTGTGACACCGGTTCAAAAGAGTTGGTTAAAGGAACCGGCACATGTTGTGACTTGTGCTGATCTTGGTATCGACCCTTTGCTGCTTGGACCGGGCCAAGCCTTCATGGTCAAGGGCTGGAACCGTGCCATTTGCTGCCTGATCGTGATGCTGGCCACATATGAATGTGAGGAGCTGCGTCAGGCCAGGGGTGGTTGACCAGAAACCATTGTGTGCTTCTTCATACTCCAGGCAATCCTTGTGTCTCACGGATTGTTATATGGCAGGTTTTGCCTGCTGATGTGAAAGCGTCACTTGTCTATTATTTAAGAGGCAATGGGTTATTGAATTCTTGAAGTGATGATAACTCAACATTATTTTCAACATTTGGGAGGGGCTTCACTCTTACTTCACCAAGGACCTTCAGCACCATTTGGGTGACCAGTGTCAACGAAGACATTGGAGAACTGGTGCAAACCAATGTCAGTGGCATCCCCAAGATGTGATTTCGATGTATGTTTCTCTCAATGTTCTCCCCAAAACATGACTGGCTTTTACTTAGGAGTGACACTGTCGTCCACGGCAATCCGTAGAAGACCCAACTGCTTCAAGCTGTTGTTTCAAATGGAGTTTCTGATCCGATCTGGAGTCTCTGGTGATCAAACTGCTTCGAAGCTGCAGGTCTGGTTCAACATTTTTTTTGATCATGTTCTGTGGTGTAGGTATCATTCCAGATTCTAGATTTGAGCCACCCGGACAGGAAATGGAATCACATTCCAGCGTAGCAGCCTGTTACAACGTGGGGAGGAATGAGGCTCAGGCCGCGTGCAATTTGCTGCAAAAGATCGACAGAGAAATCCGAAACCGTTTGGAAGAGCTTGTCAGGAGACAAAGTTGATTCCTGTGTGACAACCAAAAAATATCATAAATCACTGAGCTATGTATGATAGCAGTTGTCTCATACACCACTTGCAGGACCCACACCATGTCAAGGTTCCTGAACCATGACGGACTTGCCCATGGGATCTTCAACAGAGACTATTCCGGTGCCACTGGATCTTTTACATCCTGGGACCGCGCTCTAGTGAACTCTCCAGCCTTGCTGCAGCTACTTGTTAACAGGATGAACCAAGACTGGACCAGCATGAATCCCAAAATGCGCAAGCCATGGGGTCTGAGCACATTGGACACTCGGCCCACCATCGAACTTATACCCCGTTGGCATTGAGTGGGCGTAAAATTCTGTATTGGCTGTTAGCTTTGTTAGACTTTATTGGATTTCTTAGCCACCCTGCCCATCCATGTTTGTGCCTCAGGAGAATCTTCAAAGGATCTGCGGCGCATATCTTGCGTGCCTGGCGAAGTTTGGCGAGCAAGTCCCAGCCAATCACTACAACTCTGCGAAGGAGGAGTTGGGCAAAGCGTTTCTTTTTTGCAATGTGAACTTAATCATCAACATCTTTCGGATACTGGGGACCAAACACAACACTACACCTACGTGTTTCAGTGACAAATAACACTATATAGATTCAGGTTCAATCTGCGCCATGCAGACAATGACCTGATGAATTTGCTCAACGATTCCGTTCCACCGGCGGACATTGACCGGGTTCAGATCTTCAAGTCCCAAATGGCTAAGTTTGTCCAAAAGGCCAGACCATGACAATCTGTGTGACAGTGGCTGATTTGTAGCCTGCAATCACTACCTCCAATGTATGCCCCACTTTTGGGATTTTGGTAGGCAGCTGATGAGAAGGTGAATCGCGCGGCAGAGTTGCTTGGCTTGCTATTCCATGTCTGATATCCATGTGAATCTTGACTCCTGAATCAAATTACTTGCTTCCTATTTTTCGACCCTGTCATCAAATCCGATCAGGCTAGCAGCACAGCTGAAACAAACCAACTACCAGCAAACGCTCCTGAACTTGGAGAAGGATGAGGAAACACTGCTCAACTGGGCACAGCAGTTTAATCTGTTTGCATCCCAGCAGGCAGGGTAAGCACTTGGCTTTGCACCTGATTTTTGGTGCCCGATTTTGATGTTAATTGATTCCTCTTAAAGATTCTTGTGTGGTAGGGTGGTTTGGACCTGAAATACCTCGAAGACCGCTTTCTTCGAGGGAAGGAAGCAGTGAAACGGATCCTGGCCTCCAAGCACAGCTACAGCTTGCATGGCTCTCTCAACCTCGCGCATGCGGACTTGGTGCAGAAGCAAGCGGAACTGGGAAGTCAAGCGTTTCTAGATTGAAATTTGCTTATCAAGTGATGCTTCAGAATAACTTTGACCTAGGCTTCTATTGGTGTACAACTGAGGTTGACTATCATGATCGTTGATTGCACTTTGTGGCCACCACGTTTCTCAACTGGAGACTGTGGAATTTTTACCAACTATGTTCGGCTGTGAATGATTTTACTTGACTTCACATGGTGCCATTTCAGGTGCTCTATCTGTTGATGAAGCTGTGTCACTGTGCCAAGCTGTCGCCAGTGGCAACACTGGAACCTGCTGCTTCTTCCTGCTGCCCCAAAACCATTCCAGCACCAACCAGATGGCAGTCCTTGCCCATCGAAGATTGCTCGAGGACAAGGTGGTCGCGCACCTTAACTGCAATTGAACCAAACATGAAGATGACATAGCAGTGAAACAGAAAAAGTAATATTACGATTGGACTTGAATGGGGTCTTTCATTCCATCTCATTGATTCATCATTATTCCTTGGCTCTCTGAACCAGGGGATTCAATGTCTATGAGATTGCCCTCAACTTTGCTCCGAGCCAGCACAATGGAGATAGAAGGAAAACAAGCCAGCAGTGCTACTTGTTTTGAATTCAGTTTCCCATTCAAACCATTGATATTCAACGAAATGTGAAACTGCATTTGATTTCCCCCCAAAAAAAAGGATTTTGAAAGCCATGCAGTTTACAGGTCTTGGGGCCATTGCTGGGACGCACGAGAAGAACTCCAGCGTGCCATTCTTGAAAAGCAAGGGCTTCCTCGGCTCAATTTCTGGGGTGGATCGGGCAAGAGTCATGGACCTTGTCAACCCCGAACCAGACAGGCCACTGGCAGCCCACTTCAGAGCAGCATGCCCGAGAATTGCCCTATTTTTTGTGCCTGTGGATCTTTGCAAAATTTTGCAAACAAATCCCAAAAATAATCAAATTGGTCAGACTTTTCATTGAATCTTTTTTTATATCAGCTTAGGTCCAACAGCGAGGCATTCCAGCTTGCAAGGACATCATCTTGAAGCTTTTGGATGGCGTTGCTGAAAATGACACACCGGTTCTGATCGTGGATGCGTTGCCCAACAGGCACCTAAACTTAAATACTTCACATACTGTTTACATACTGTTCACATCTGTTCACATACTTTTCACATACTGTTCACAACCTTAGATAGTTAGGATGCCAGGTCCTGGACTGGATTATTGACTGCCAGCCCTGTGTTAAGGGTTCTGAGCCGCCCGGCAAGGTTCTCGGAATGGAGCTTCGCTACCTGGGACCTGCAGCTTGAGAAGATGAATGGGGGAACTGGGCCAAATTTCCATTTCATGGGCCTTTACCAATCTGATGATGGGGGCGTGATGAAAACAACCAAAGAAACTATGGTGGGCAAAGTGATGTCAGCCTGGTGGGACCAATCGGAGGAGGCAGGTCCCAAGACACGTCCCAACTGTCAGTTTTCTGTCCCGCTGCCAGCGCTGGATGTGCTCGCACTTTCGGATGGAAAGCTCAAGACCCTTGGGCTACAAGAATTTTCTCTACCTTTGATGATAATTTATCTCTGAATCTAAACAACTTATTATATAATCAAACTGCAATTTTGGGGATTAAGTTGCCCATAGAAATTCTGGTGATCTCTGGTCTTGCCTCTACGTCTTGAGGATCCCCGACCTGGTGCTGAACAACTACAGCGGGGCGCACCTCGAGGAACTCAAGAAGAAGGAGGAGGTCCTTGCAAGCAATGTTCGGTTGACTGCGGCTTTGAAGGGAAACTACGCAGGTACTCTCGCATCAGAGACGGCTACTGGCCAAACTCAGAACGTGGGTCAAGGTGGACCTGGAGGAGCCAGAACTGTTGCTTCTCCAGACTGGGATGGTGACCATCCGCCATGTTTTGAAACCCGTGTGACGTTTGAATCAACTGCAATTGATGCCTTTGATGCTGGAGTCCAGTTACTTGAATGTCATATGGCACATTTTGTTTGAAAAACTATAATGCACCGAAGTGCAAGAAGACATGATTGAACCATGATTGAAACATATGAAAAAATGATGTATTTGATCCAGTCAATGTATCCCAGGTTGATTTGCCAAGCCAAGATGAACAGCGTGGCTGGATTGCAAATTGCCCGGGCCAATGATGGCAATTTCTACTTGGTCAACAGGGGCAACTCAAACATCACAATTTCTGCGCCCACGGAGTTGTTCGGGTTTAATGTTGGCAGCTATGTGGAAGTACCCTCGGACCCCATTCAAGGAGTGAGGGGGTCCATCATGAAACAACAACCTGTCAAGCTTTCCCAATGCTACTTGACCCATAAACCCATACACAAACCAAATCCAGTTCATGTCCTGATCAAGTGCACCTCCCATTCCAGGAGATGCCATGCCAGACCACCTGCCGTGGGTGGTGCGCAGTGACAAGCATGTGATTGCTTTGGTGAAGGGGACGGAAAAAACTGTCATGACAGTCGCTGATGTGATGTGTGACATCACCAAGACCCGGGGCATCACGGAGGTCCATGTTGCAGACCATGATCTCTCCCCAACTCAGAAGGACTGGTATCCCAAAAAACGATTTCATTTGAATGTTTTATGTTGGCTGCAGTTTGAATTTCAACAGTCTGATGCCAACACATTATTTTTTTTTAATTTCACGCAACCTGGCAGGAGGAAAATGGTACCATGATCCCTCGCCACTTCCGCTATGACATCAAACCAAAGGCAAAGATCCATGCCTTTAAGCCGAAGGAACTGAATGCCGATGCCGAAAGTCTCAACCTGCGAAGCTCAGTGATGGGAGCTTTCTTCCATACTTCTTTGGACAAACTGCCGGCTTCCGCAAACATACGTGTAGTGTGGGAGGCTGGGTGGTTCCAAACACTGGGGGTCAGTCAATTTTAACCAACTTGTGGCTTCAGTACTGATGCTGTAGCTCCTGGGACCCCGGATAGCAATTTTATCATCATTTTCCCAAAATAAAATATCAAACCGAGGTGGCTGTTACAGAAGGAGTTCCAGCCACTGTGCAGCCTTTGAAGCCAAAGGTCTATCTGATCTGTTGCACATGCGTTCCTGCTGGACATGCAGTGAGATTGGAGTGAGTTGACGTACCAGCGACAATCCAAAAATTTTGATTTTGGGTCTTGTCAGGGTTGCTGACTGTGCCAGGGGAAGCTGATGAAGTCATTAAAATGCACTATTTCAGTCACATGCTGTCAGAAAATCATACATCATTTGTGTGAACCTCTGGCCGGGGCATGCCGTGACTATCTTTGGGATGGATCACAATCATTTGTGATATGACTCGCGGATGGGCCTTGCAGCCGTGCAATTAGCAGCCCAGACAAATCGATGACCATGGTGCAAAAAGTAACCCAAGCAGTTTGCACAAGAATTGTTTCAATGGTTGCCTAGTGATTTTCTTTGCACATTGATATCATCCGAAAAGATTTGAGGCTTGAGTTTTTTTCAGCTGCCTAAGTGCAGCTAATAGCTATGTCGTTCAACGAAGTCACTGCCCTGAGTGATGACGACGATGGGACTGAGCACACTCCAGCTCCCATTCCCTCTCCAGCTCCGACGAGCCTCAAACCGAAGGGTGCAGCCAAGGCGAAGGCCAAGGTGAAGGCCAAGGCTAAGCCTCGGGGCAGGCCAAAACAAAAACCTGTGAAGGAAACCCCCAAGTCCAAGAGTTCCACCAAGAAGTCAAGGAAGAAACCTGGGGTTTCGGAGGTTGAACCTAGTGAAGATGATACGGAGGAGCCTCAAGAAACGGAAGAGAAAGCAGAAGAGAAAGTGGAAAAAAAAGTGGAAAAGAAAGTGGAAAAGAAAGCAGACAAGAAAATGCCGCCAATGAAGCGCCCGGCTTCTGCCCATAGCAGCAGGTCTACGGAGGATCCCCCTGTGATGAAGAGGCCAAGTGGTAAGACTAAGGAATTTACCGTGTGCAAGTACAAGTACAAGGACCAAGGAGCATGGGGCTTCAAATGGGATGGCAAAGAGCGCTTGCGGGTGCCTAGACTTCTATTAGCTGTGTGTCACTTCTGGAATCAAAGGTTGATTTTGCAACAACTCCACGTCAATTGAAATGAGGAAATTTGTATCACCTTGTTTGATCTAAGTTGCCTCGAAACCCTGACCTTACTTATGATGATGAAGTTGAGATCACCGAACCTTTGCTGCAAGTTCCAGCTGAGCTTCATGCACTGGCCTTCATATCAGCCTTTGATTGTAGAACTCATCGTCCTAGGATGCGGTCAAAGCCGAGCTGGTTCGAACCAAAGGAGATGTTGCAGCTGGACGCACCCTGCGTGCTCCTGGGATTTGAAAAAAATATTGAAGCAAAATGCCAAATATCGCATAGCAATTGCAATTCGATTGCAGCATTTTTTCTGCAATCAAAATTCACCCCAAAACCAAAGGCATTCTTTCAATGTAATGCTCCATCAGCAGCCTGTCAACATCTCAGGACACTATGGTTCAGGCTGCTGTTGCTAAGAGCCGTGTCAAACCAACGGCTCCTACCGCGACAGCCCCAGCTGAGAAAGGTTTTGATGAACCTGCTGCCAGCAATCATGAAGAAAATTCGGAGGAGGAAGAGTACCGTGAAGATGACCAAGAAGTGGAGGATGAGGTGTGCTGATATGTGCTGATATGTGCTGATATGTGCTGATTTTTTCTTGAAACCTTCATCATCCTTCACCGAAAAACACATGTGACTTGATGTTATCCACAACCAAGATGGGCCCCAATTTTCCCAGCTTCCTGACAGGTGACTGCTTCTCCTGAAGATGTCGACTGAACTTGCGGTAGATTGCCGCTGGCCCTGGCAATGTTGGCTGTGCCACGTTTTGACAAGTGAAACACAACACGTGCAACCCTGGGAACGCTGGGAAAAAAGGTCCGTCCGAAATTCAAGAGTTGCGATTGCTACCAATTTCGTGACCGAAATTCTACAGCTGTGAATCTCATAAGGCAATGCCTGCCTATACCACGTATCACACATTCATGCTGCGCAACGTTGAGAGATTTTTGATTCATGACTGCAAGACCTTTATTCGCGCAGCTACTGTTTTCTCTTTAGGGGAATCTCAATGGCCACCATGGCGACAAAACTGGAAACCCTTATGGGATTCTTGGCTTGAACCAATATGCAATTATCCCCACTTGAGCGAACTTGGTTTGTAATCATCCCCATTGCTCACACTTAAGTCAGGAGTTGGATGGGATGGCTGCGATATTCCCACTGACAAGTACACCTACTCCATTGCCAGCCAGATCGAAGTGACTGATGAAAAGGGTGTTGATGAGTCAAGTGATGGCCGTGTTGCAGCACTTTTGGCCTGGATTCCTCAAAAAAAAATCCATGGTGACGACAACCAGGTCACTTGCTTTGAGGAAGTTGTTTATTTTGTGAAAGATGACCCTGTTATCGTCAATGGTCCTGCGATGTGGCAGGCCACAATCCGTGTCTTTAGCGTTTGGGAGCAGGAGGAACAGCTAATTAGCTTCAAACTGAAGAAGGAGTGACTCAACCTGGCATGAGATGGGAAAAGATCGCCTCGGTGTTGATGGAATCATTTCGTTTTTGCATATGGCATCCCATTGCATTTCCATCCCTTCCCATGTGTGGGTCACCTTGCCTGAAGGTGCTGAATGTAGATCGATTCAGTCCTGCGAAGGCAGGGCATGCCCAACAAAAGTTGCATGTGGCACATGCAAGTGCAATAGTCAGGATATTGCAACTCTTTGTAACAAAATTCAACATATTTGTCAGTCAGTAAAAAACTACCATCTCAGTTCTGCGAAGGTGGTGGCACCCTGTGAGTGAGATGACTTGCTTGACCTAGTTTTCACACCCAGGAGCACAGTAAGCCTATAGCCATCATTGACCATCCAAAAAGTAGAAAAACACAGTCCAGAACTTACTTATAACAGATAATTTTTGTATCTTTTTGAAGATTACTTGTTCGCTGTTTTGATATTCTTCGACTTTCTTCGATCTTCTTCCAATCTTGTTTATCATGGCTTTGCAAAGTGCATTGCGCACAGCTCCATTGGCAAGATGCGGCATGGTTTCACAAATCTCCACGCTTGGGACACCATGTGGATCTCATGAACTGCTCACAGTAGTCTCGAGCGAGCTCCCGCGAGTTTGCATATTGCTTCCACGGAGGTTTTGCACAGATGCCACTGTGGCAATCTTGATGTCCTTTGCGATGCTGAGCAGAAGTTTCCGTAGCTCAGTGCCACAAGTGCCAATCCCCAGGCAGCGCCACCAGTGCCAGCAGTTTCCATACATTATTACGATTATGAATTTACATGACTTTACCAATTACACCTACTGTACCCTTTTGGATAGACTCGGATGTATTATGTTAAGGTTCCCTTAATTAAGACTATTCCCCATTAGCACCTGATATAAAATTATTTTGGGCTACCACCTTTAGGTCTCCCACACAATCTGTCCTTGAAGCGCAGTCCACAAGAGTGGCCTGGGGGAGTAGGATGTACAAATAGGTGAATGGAAACCTAAGGGGGAATGGAAAATATAAGGGGAATGGACATATAGAAATCCGGCATCAAATATATAATATTCATAATAACTTTCCAAATTCCCTCAATCCTTTTACCTACTGAGCTGGCCTGACTGGGCCCCCTGGCGAATCCGAAGCAACATCTCCAGCAGCTCGTGAAAGAGATGTATGTCGTTGTGCGTGAGCTCAGCTGGGCATACAGGACACCCAAAACCCTAGATACACACCAAACCCCTGGTTGACAGGGAAGGCCCATATATGCATATATATATATATGTATATGTATATGAGTACATATATATATATATTTGTATATGTATCAATTACATACAATTACATGCAAACACCGGACCTCCAAATACCTCCAAATTTGGCAATTTTTCGACACTTCACAAACCTGTTGTTGGGCACAAACATGTGACCCTAAGCCACATCTGGTCAAAAATGGGTGGTCAAAAACATTCTATCCACTTGGTTCCAGCACTTACTGCTTCGCGCAGGTACTCTTAAATGACCCATGATTTGTTAGTTAACTAGTTAGTAACTGCATTATCCTTGGGATATAGTGGTCTATTACCCAGTGACTAACCAGTTATATAACTAATCCCATGTCCCATCTAAGTAGGTGCCTCACTTGTGACATGTTCATAATCAAAAGCAATACCCATTCCATTTGCATTCAAAAATCACCCTGCTGAATTTATCTTCCTAAAAATGGGCCAGCCGAAGAAACAACACACACTCACCAGTCGTTGTGTAGTCTATTCAAAATTCCCATTGCTGCTGATGTGCATCCCAAATCAGTGGCTTATAACCCTAAAATTCATTACATCATATGAACCGTATAATCCTGGGTTCCTGGGTTGTCTCATATGGTTACTATTCACTGTCTACCCTCCGGTAATTTCACAGTTTGCTATGGTATAAACGGTCCATTTTGTTCGATGATGAACCTACCAAAAAGGGTCTGTTCATGCATGTCCATAGCAAACTGAAACGCATTATGCAATCACAATGAGAATAAAACGAGGATTTGATAAGGAATTCGCACCAACATATGGATCAAATGAGGACAAAACGAAGATTTGATGTGGATTTCCCAAAATAAACTCGCCCACTTAGATTACTGGGTAGATTAATGGCTTACCCTCTGGGTTCACATAGCTCTTGTAATCTCACATAGCTGTGGTACATTTAACGTAGCTATGGGATTTCACCATTTTTAATAGGTAAATATTAACTATAAATTGGATATTTTCAATGTGTATAGCTTTGTTAGTCATTACCAAAGGGTATATCCAATATCCCACCAAGTCACTAGGTCTTCTCATCCCATGAATTTCCATTAATCTGTTAAGTTCACGTTGGCATCTTAGGTATCATCACATTATCCATTAACTCAACTATAATAAACCGTTCTACACACACATTTTTATATATATATATATATATATATAAATACACACATATATATATAGATCAATAAATACACATATATGTATAACTATAATAGATACTGTATATCCCAATGACATCTCATCATATATAGTTATATATATATATAACCGTTAAATATCTACTTAATATCTCCATGACACACCATGACATCACCCCAAAGTCACTCAGGTAGTCACAGCGAGGGACGCGAAAGTCGGCCACCTCCTGGGGCTGGAAGCCGGCGTCACGGATGGCCCATTGCCTCAGGAAAGTCATCCTCGATGGATGGGGTTTAGCCATGTTTAGCCTATAAAAAAAAGGGAGAATCATCAAAGGATAGGATAATAGGATTATAATAGGGATGATAGGATTTACAACTTGGATGATGGGATTATAATAGGGATGACGATAATATCAAAATAATAGTATGATAATGATAATGTTAAAAAAAAAGGGAAAATAGGGATTATAATCATAGGATAGAGATAGGAATGATCATAGGGATAAAAATATCTAGCCCGTGGAATATGAAATAACCATAGGGATAATCATAGGGATATTGCATGGGATATTGGGATCATAATGATAAGGATAGTGATATTATGGGATAATTTAACACATGGAATGTGGGATCATAGTTAGCCTATGGAATGTGGGAGAATCATAGCGATAATGATAGGGATCATAATGGGCAAAACAAAAGATACGATTGAGAGGTTGTAAACATCATAATGGTTAAAAACCATGATGATAATGATAGGATCATTGAGAATCCTAGGGAAAATGATAGATCATAATGTGATAGACTCATCATCTCAATGATCCCATAAAGAACGGTCATAAACATGAAGAATCCAAATATAGGGATTTGCACTATGGAAAGCTGAGAAATTTCGGAGCATCCTACACAACCAGTGTATTTTACCCTGTGGTTATGTCAAGTTATAGCTATTGAACATGGCCATAGAAACAAAGAATTTTCCCATGAAAAATGGTGATTTTCCATAGTTATGTTAGTTTACCAGAGTGTAAGCCCAATGTTTGTTGGGATATGGGGCCCCTAAAATTATGGTGAAATATATCCATTTAGTTCACTGGAAATCCAATTCCTTGGCGTATCCAAGTCCTTGGCTGGTCCCATGATAGGTGCAAGCGGAGCTGTGTTTACCAAGGTGTCTCTCAAAATTGGGTTAGCCGCTAAAGCATGAGCTTCCACATTAATGTGATAAACCCATCCCGAATAGAGGTTTGCTATTGGGTATTCCATGGAAAAACAAACCCTATTTGGGAGTGAAATGACCCCCAGTCATGGTTGGTGAGATTCCATCAACCATAATTACATGTGACGATTATGATTACATCAACCATACTGGTTTATGATTACATCAACCATTACATCAACCATGATTACCATGATGGTTTACTGGTTTATGATTGCATGTGACGCATTCACATCAACCATGACCAACGTTTGACGATAAATTTGTGCCCCAAAATAACCATCTTGAACCCCCGGAACGCCAACGACGCTTGGTTTCATCGCCAGCTGCTCTTTTCGTAGCCTCTCCTTGTCCTTGAAACTGCGAAACAAGCCCATGAGCTTCAAGAAATCCTGCGCTGGATCGGAAAAAATGGAGGAGAGCCAAATCATTCATGCATGCAACTGTGTGTGTACTTTCATGCATGTATAAATATGCTTTAAAATATATACCGAAAACACAATCTAATATGTATACACGAAAATTGATCCGAAACCTATACATATTCACCTAGATTTGGCTGTCCTGACGGGTGACACGGATACCTTGCTGCGGGGACAACTGAGCAGAAGCTGTTGGATGCCCCTGGTTCAACTGACAAATTGCCCGGAGACCAAGTGCCTTTGGGGTGGATTCACCTGTATATTACAAGAACATGTACATGCCAAAACATAGGTGTGCGCACATGTATGAATGTAGATATGCTACCAGCAACTTCTATCCATATCGCTATTCCATTGACATCATGCGACGGCCATAAACTTCAACGTAGCCAACTAAGCCAGGCTTTATCTAGGTTTTGTCCGGCTGATATTCATTTGTATTGGCTATATTTGTATGCTGTATATATATATATATATGTGTGTGTGTCTGAAATATTATGTGTATGTGTTTCTTTTCCCCCCAATACCTGTTTGAAACATGTGTATTCCATGCTACATTATTTGCACTATATATATGTGTGTTTGTATAGGTACACTGTGAAATACATTATAATATTTTCTGCAATCTATATTATCAATACTTATTATATATTATGTCTATATCATTGATATGTAACATATAGTCAATGCACGCATATATATATATATAAATATATACATATATAACTATATACATATATATATACATATATATATATATACAAATCACCAGGATTGTTGGTTTTAATCCCGAAGTTAGCTGGCTGAAGCAGCAAGTTTATCAGCAGTTTTGAGTAAAAATCCCAGCCATTTTTCCCCACCTGCCAGGTGAGGGTTGTTAGATTTTATGTCAGTTGCCTCCTCCTGCCTCCTTC